TATATATATATATATATATATACACACATATACAGTACGTCGTTCACTCATTACACAACAAACCCTTAGAGGTAGGTCCAAACAAGGAGGGCGAGTAGGAGGCCTTAGGGATTGTCTTCCTAAAGGTTACTCTCTCTCTTGTGAAAGTTTTTTTTTTTTTCGCCCTTTTTGCGGGGTTTTTAACTTTTTATCCCTTTTGCGGGGTTTTTATCAGAGTTATCTTGATATTTTTGTTGGGTTGTGCCTTGGTGGGAAAGAAGGACAATGTGAACGTGGTCGTGAGCTTGGGAAAAAGTATAGCGTTTTCCTTAATTGTTATCATCGACATGATCAGGGTGAGATCTTTGGGTAATTTTTGTGCCCAGAAACTAGCCTAATGGTTGGGATTACTTAGTAATCTAAGATGTTCACAATAATATTCTTCCTACTTAGTAACAATGTTATTGCCGTTACAATGATTTATTAGATCTTATGTAACAGCTGGGCTCCGGGTACTTAATTGTGCTACTCTTTCATCAGCATATCTTCTACTGCTCACAACAGTAATATTTTTTCTTTTTATCATCACTCGCCGGCTTTACATTGTACACTTTCGTCTCTATTAATGAATTTTATCACCATAAAAAAAAAAAAAAAAAAAAAAAAACTGGAAAGCAGTCCTAAAACCATCACTATTCTTTATGCTTTGGAAATAAATTCTAAATTCTTGGAAATCAAATATATATATATATACATGTTTTCAGTTCCGACCTAAAAAAATTGGATTCTTAATTTACATTTATAAATTAAAGTCTTAATTTAAAATTAGAAATTCACCCTTCTAAATATTGAACTTAAAAACCCATCACTACTAAAATTTTCACTTTTAGCAACAACTTATTAGCAACATGGGTGTTCTTGCTAGTGAAAATCTATATCACCGACAAGAACTATGTTACTAAAAGTTATACAACACATTTTCCTATTTAAAAGGCTGCACCACTTTCAGCAACCACTTTCAACAACAAGAGGTATGTTGTTGAAAGTGAATTTCAGTAATATATCTCATATTGCTGTAATTTTTCGATCATTACATAGTGCATATTCTTACTTAGAAGTGAGCCCCACTTTCAGCAATAAGGGATATATCCCTACTTTAAGCAATAAAGAATATTTTGTTGAAAGTGAATTTCAACAATAAAGGACATATTGCTATAACTTTCCAAGCACCTAAAGCATTAGCAACATACCCCTTGTTATTATTATTCTTATATTTTTTTCAACCAAATACCAGCAACATATATCAACAACAAAGAATATATTGCTGATATTCATGCTTTAACCTATAGTTAGCCAAAACCATTATATATACACATTTGTTTGGCCATTATATATACACCAGAGTCGATTCTGCATGTGAAAAATCAACCCTTAATAAAAAAGATTCGACTCTCATTTTAATAATCGACTCTTGAGCAAAAAAATATTTTATATTTATATGTGAAATACTTTTGTAAACTCAAAAAAATGTCTACTTTATTTTTTAACTAAATTAGAGATTTAAATCCTTTAAATAAAGAATAAATAATATAATTATATTAATTAATATGTTAAATGTTAAATACTATTTAATAAAGTTAAAAAAATCAACTAGTAAATTAAATTTTAGAGATAAAAACTAATTTAACTCTAAATTTTATTTAGCCTGTATTTAAAAATTAAAACAATTAATATATGTCACCTATTTGATTAGTCTCACCTATAGATAATTCTTGATTTATAAAGGAATAAATTAACTCTCATTTAATTTTATTAAATCAAATCTCAACTATTACAACTATTTTGCTTTTTCTTAATTTATGGTGGACTCAGTTAAATTTTGTTTAATTTTATTAAATCAAATTTAATCATAATAAACTAAATTTAAACAAAATTAGACGAAATTAAAATGATTTTCTGGTTTCATCTTCCTTGACCTTCTTCCCTTTCCCTAGCTCTATCCCTCTCTATCCTCTTCTCCTTCACCTCCATCCTTCTCTTCTCTATTTTGTTCTTTATTTTTGGTTGGATGGTGAGAACCCGATTTGGGTTCTCATTCTCCCAAATCTGATCCAATAAAACAAATTGTTCATTCCTCAAAGAAACTCCAGCAAAAACGCAAAAATTTTCACTCAAAAATCCAACGAAAATCCAACAGTAATAATGAGGGATGAGAGAAGTGACGGATTTGGGAAAGAAGGGGAAGGAATCCACCAAACCTTAAACCCATTGATCAATCTCAAATTTGGTCCCTTTGAACCCTAAACTTAGGTGCATCCATGGAATCTCGCAAGCTCAAGGATTTAGGTTCCCATTTTCCTTCTTTCTACAAGATTTCAGCTCATGGAGAACCAGATTTGGTTCTCTTGATGAGAACCCACCTTGGTTTTGAAGGATTTAGGTGAATTAGGGATGAGGTGAGTGTTTGGCTGAGATTAGAATCATAGGTGGAAAAAAAAGTGAGATGGTGATGATGAACGATGAAAGAGAGGAAACGGTGGATGAAGAGGTCACTGGAGGAAAAGAAAGGTAGGACGACGATGATCGCAGAAGATAGAGAAACAATGAAGGTTTTTAGGAGGGAGAGAGAAAAAAGTTGGAAATGCCGAAGAGTGATGAGAGGATCCGATCAGAGTTGAGAGAAAGGAGTTAGACTATAAAGATGGGGTATTTAGGTAATTTTGTATTTTTAATGTATTAATTAATTAAAATGATTGAAGTGTGGTTGTAAAATTAAGTGTGGAGTACTTTTAGATGCAGTGAAGAATCGACTCTCCATGTGAAGAGTCAACTCCTCACTGCAAACAGAGTGGACTATATAAGGTTAAGAATTGACTACTAAATTTCAGAGTGGGGTTGTTTTGGACGCACTGAAGAATCTACTCTAGAAGAGTCGACTCTTCATTGCAGATAGAGTTGATTATATAAGAGTTGAGTATATAAGGT